GTGTGTGTGTGTGTGTGTGTGTGTGTGTGTTTTCTGAGCCCCTCCCTCCCTCCCTCAGTCAGTCGGTGTGTGTTTCTGCTCGCTCAGAGGGACTCACCGGGCGGAACGGGAAAATGACGGTGGAGAGAGTCTTCGATGAGCTCGGACATTTCAAAAGGTACAGAACAACCAAAACACACATCTGCCTCCACAGTTTCTGTTCTGAGCTGAAGTTTTCCTGTGTGAGTTTCTGTCATCAGCTGACAGAATAATGTCTGAATGTAATTTTAGTTCTTGCTGCTCAACATGTGGTTTGTAAAATGCCCACGATTTGGACTTTTTGTTTTTAATCAAATGTGTTTTAACATTATCTTTTTTTTAAATTTATTTTTGTGTTCTTAGAGTACACACAGAAAAAAAAAAAACAGTATGTATTCAAATATGTCATACCTCCCGGATGAGAAGTATAAATATACAGTACCATGAAAAAGTATGTGATCCCTTTGGGTTTTCTTGGATTTCTGCATATTGATCCTTAAATGTGTTCTGATTTTCATTTAAGTCACAACAATACACCTAATCCTACATCTCAYGGGTGCGCTGCTGCAGGGGCGCCAGAATTTGCTGGTCCCCCCCAGTGCCCCCCAGTTTTATCCTCTTGAGCAGTGGTTCCCAAACTTTTTATCTTCTGACCCACAAAATATCCATGGCTTAAACTTGTGACCCCAAATATTACTGGTCTGAGTACCAAAGGGTGTAACTTTAGGTGTTCCATTGGGGGGGTTATGCTCTAAAACCCTGCATGCCATTTTTAGCAATTATGCTTAAAACGATATATGACGTAATTTTTTTAATCAGGTCAAAGTTACATAGACAACAAAAGAGTTGCATCTGTCTACTTCAGTTAATTTCTATTGTGTTTGAGCAAACAATGCCATTTTATTGGGGGTTATTTTGACTGGATCAAATTATTGTGGGGGTCATAACCCCCCTAACCCCCCTGCAAATTACGCCTATGCTGAGTACACAAACTTCATTAATAACCCTAAAAACACAGGCTTTTTGACTATCTAAACAGTTTGTACACAAATATAAATACTTATTTATAGTTATT